GCACCATTCTTTCCACTTTTTCGTCTTCCATACACCTTCAGAATCCATTTCTCCATTTTTCCGAACATCCCTGAAATACAGATATACTTTCCCTCTTACCATTCGTACACATGCATTCACTGTTATACATTCATGTCTGAAAACTAACAAATTACGAACTTCCCACAACGTCTTTTATACAAGCCATAATAGTCCACAACACTCTTTTTCCTTCTCTATTGAACACATACCAAATAACACATCAAACGAAAATACAGAAATCCCAGTCAAACCTATTACCAATTTCAACAATCTTTTCAAAACTTCTCTCACAAAACAATTCCAAATCACATGCACCACATTCTCTCTATCTACACACCCTTCCCTTTGACACATTTCCGTTCTCCCTAATCTTCTTCCATACTGTACCTCTCTCGTTGCGAAACAATTATGTATCGCCATCCATGCTATATCTTTTTGCCTATTTAAAATTTATGTCACACAATCTCTTCCATACTTCTTTACTCATTTTTTTCAGTCAAACCATCAATCCTTATTACAGATTCTCTGTCATTCAATATTTTAAAAACTTTTTTTCTTCTCACTCCAATCCTCCCACGACACATTCTGCAATTCATACTTCATTATACACACCTCAATCTTCTTATAAAACCACAGAGTATTAAAACACAAGGGTTTCATTTGATCAAACTCATGCAAACCAAACCTCCTCAAACACATCCCAGCTCCATATTTCAACATACATGCTATCAAACAGTCCTTTTTTACAAATCCTAACACACATTCTTACATAGTGCACCATTAAAAATCTTTCCACATCCGGAACATTCATACCCCCACTCTCTCGTAGTTTCACCACATTCTCTCTACTCAATTTCTCCATGCGACTACGCCAAAAAAATAAAAAGATTATCCTAATCAATTTCCTGAAAACACTCTAAAACTTTCAGTCATTCTACCATTTACCTGAACAACACTCAATATCTGCATACAAACATTTAATCCAACTTATAAACCTTTCCGGCAAACCCATCCTCTTTAAAACTCCAAACATAAAATCATGCACAACTGTCATGCCTTTTCAAAGTCTATTGTCGCAATTGATACTTCCAATCCAATCTCTTTACAAAACCACAAACCATCTCTCAATCCAATCAGACTCTCCACTATCAATCTTCCTGGTACAGCACACTTGTTCCTCACCTACCACTCCTTCAGTTACTCTTTTCATACGATTCGCAATCACTTTAGCAATTATCTTGTAGTCTAAATTCAACAGTTATTGGCCTCCAATTTTTCAAATAATTCTCATCACCTTTCTTGTAAATTAAAACAATCACACCCTTTCTCATGGAATCAGACATCACTCCTTTCCTTAACACCAAATTGCACACTTCTAGAAAATCATCCACAATCCTCTCCCAAAACATTCTATAATATTCCACAGAGATACCATCACACCCCGGCGTTTTATTAAATTTAAACTGAGATATTGCTTCATTCAATTCACTCTTAGTTATATCCCTTTCTAACCATCTTCCATCCTCTTTACTCACACCATGAACCTCATACACTTCTCATCCTTTTCCATCACATTCAGTTTTGCCGCAAATACAATCTAACTACTTCTTTCTTCCAAACACTTGTGTCTATTTTTTCTTGCTTCTTTCAAATCATCTACCTCCCAACCCACCTCTCTTAATTTACACAAATAATAGATTCTTCTAGTACAATTTTCCAAGCATACTCTCTCTTCTAGCATTGTCCCATCCTTTCTTACAAAAAAATGTTTTTAATTTCACCCATTCCCACCAATCACACTATCAAATTCCAATACATATACTTCATTCTACATTTCTCATTCATATCTTCATCCATTAACATACTCACATTCATCTTCCAATAATCTTTCCCAAATTCTATGCTAACATCCAATTTCACTTTACATTCTAAACATACGTGGTCCGAAAAAGGTACTTTTCGTGTGCGCAGAAATTCAGCCTTTACACCCTGTGAAACAAAACAAATCAATTTTGACTTTACTGTTCCTTTATCACTTAAGAAAGTAAGTTTTTCATTATTCTCTCTTACATTTATTGTATCTACAAACCCAAGTTCCTTAACTAAATTTTTCAAAACTCTCCCTGTCCTATCTAATTTATATTCCCCACTCAAACCCTCTCTAGCCTCCTTATTTATAACACAATTAAAATCCACACATAAAAAGGAAACTTCCCTCCCCGACAAAACTAAACCCAAACTCTCAAACACATTTAATCTTTCATTCTTATCTACAGGTGCATAAACATTTATTAATTTACATACAATACCCCTATATAAAAAATAAACCATTAATACCCTACCCAAAACAACCTCTCTATTTTTAAAAATATTAAATTCCCACCTTTAAAACAAAACAACACCCACATTTTTACCTACACCAAAAGAATATATACATGGACCTTTTTCCCAAGTAGATATTGAAGGTTTATCATTCAGAGTGCATTCCTGCAAGAAAATGGCATGTAAAGTTAGTGTAGTCAAAAAATCAAATATTACCGCCTTTCTTACTGCAGATCTGATACTCCTTACATTTAAAGAGGAAACATAAGCATAGATCAGAGGTTACTAAAAAAAAAACCTCATCATGTCAAGTCCCATCATCTGATTCAGAATTTCCACCAGGGTCCAGAGAGAACCCTGTAATATCAAAGTCTTGACACCGCCTGAGTATCAAATACTGGGGAATACGGGCTAGATGCCTCAGACCCAGACAGTTTCCCTACCTCAGGGGAAGAAGATACCAGTACCTTAGGGAAATCACCAGATAGCTAGTTTCCTTTTCGCTTCTGCTTTTTTGCAGCAGACACATCCTTGCTGGACTCAACTTGACCCACATTTTCACATTCAGCAACCTCTAGAGCTTCTTCCTCCATTGGAACCGGCTCAATTTTCTCCAGAGCTTCTACTGCCATCACTTCTTCCACCACCTCCTCAAACTTTTTTACGTGCTCGATCTTCGGCCATAATACAAGCATGCCTTTCTTCGTGTTCTTCTTTAAATCTTACTATTGTACCATACATTGGAATAAAAGGTATACGTAATTTTTGTACCACCTCTTTATTCAAGGAAGTGGGTTCCACTCATTCTGCTGCTGCAGTCGCTGTCCAGGGAGGGCCCAGCAGCACCTCGGGGCAAAACGGTGCCATGTGACGCTCCGACCCACATATCACATCTACGTCTTTCGGCACACTCGGCAGCTGTATGCCCCTCCCCGAAACAGTTCCTGCAGCACTGCCCTTTTGTACACTCGTTTTGTACATGTCCGAACTGAAAACCGTTCCGACAGAATTTGGGTTGTCCCGGATAGAACAAATACCCTCGGTTTGCCCCAATTTAATTTTTTTTGGGGGGGATGCTTAACACCATTTACCTCCGAAGGATCAGAGTGCAAAATAACAAGGAATTTACGCTTTCCGTTATAAATGTCATAAGTGTTAACTAATTTCACGGGTTATGTCACTAAGGAGCAGTATCTGTTAAAGAATGCCATTATCTCCTCATCAGTCATGAACGGATTGTACATATGTACACATAATGGCACTCTCGAAATAGATACAAATGGTATAAAATTAATACCCACCAAAACTTCACCTTTTACCTTCAAATGCTCCATTATAGTTGACACATGATCCTGTTCAGTCAAGGTGACATCATAAATGCCCCTGGACTGAAAATCCTGAATGCAGAATAACCAGGACCTTGGGACTCCCATCAAGCCTTCCAATCTTTCTTTCTGTATCATAAACAAACCGACAGACTTCCTTCTCTGCTCCTCCACAAAAAACCTTGTGGTCTTCAGAATTGAGGGTCTTCCTCTATCCATCGTGGATCGCCTCTCGTTCCCAGAGTTGATCACCCCGCAATAGCAGCATACAGACCGTGCCCTCACTGGGAGAAGAAAGCCCACAGAAGTCCGAGAGGCTAGCATTGCCGATCCTCTGGGGCCTCCTGACGACAAGACAAGAGTAAACTTGATCTTAGCCAAAAGGCTGAGAAGCGAAACCGGAATGGGCACCCAGCTACTCACCTGCCATTCGCCTGGGCTTCTTCAGCTTGCAGTGAGCCTTGGGCACAGTACCACCTCTTCCTCATCTAGGTGTAAGCTGGCTACAAATAGCAACAGAGACAGTCACAGAGCACACAACCTCGAAGCCCTTGAAACACAGCGCCCCTTCTTAACCTTGTCCATTCCTCTATATCCTCCCCTCCAGACATACCTTGCACCCACATCTCTCCCTCTCCCTCTCTCTCCCTCCAGCTGCTACTGATGATGATGTGCCTAACGAGGCTGCTGGATCACCTGGTCTGTTATTCTTCAGCTGCAAGTACGGTAGATAGAGCAAGCAATTAAGCACCTGCTGGTTGCTTAATCACTCAATGATTCAATTAAACCCTTAATTGGTTAGATGTTGCTCAAATTTCCCTCCAAAACGTTAATGCTGTAATTGCAAAGACCAGCAGGCTGCAGCAGATTTGCATAATACCGCCCACTTTTCAACATTGAGAATGCACACTGCCAGCCAGCCCAGGGTCCACCTGGATAGAAATGCTCTGGATTCACAATGAATGTACTTGACATTTATTCAATTAAGTGATTACACAGATTTACATAACAATGAATACATGGGATCAGGTGAACAGAATTGACTCGTGCTCAGCCCATGATATATAATAACAATCAGACAAGCTATCCAAATGAAATAACAGTTAACAGACATTGCTACAAGTGTCCATAATTCAAGGAATGTTTTTGGTCCATCTGAGTTCATTCAGGTATGCCGCAGACAGGGGGAGGCAGAGATTGCACTTACGACAGAGAAAGCAGGGAGGGAGAACAAGTTTGCCTAAGTTTTCAGGTTTCCTGCATTACTTTCCAACCCCACCAAGTGAGAGTACAGTGGCTTGCTTTTTCAATCTATTTTTTTAACCAGCGTAAGAGAGGTGCACCGGTCCTGGAGGTACTGCAATACCAGGCCAAAGCATGGAGTGGACAGAGCAAGCTTCTTCCATCTCCCTGTTCCAAAAATCCATTTAATATATGGTCCTCAGATAGGGGATACAATCTTCTTCACTCACTCCATTCTTAATACATTCCAAAGCTTCCGTTTCCTAACTTACATCTCTCACTTTCTCTGTATACAAATAGTTGTAAAAAATCCCAACATCAACATCTCCTCTTTCTCTTACTATAACCCCTTTTTCATTCATAATACCATCCATTCCTTTCCTACCATCAAAAGCCTTTTTTTAAAAATATCTAGAACACTTTTCATCCTTCTCCAAAACATTCAATTTTGCTGAAAACACTATCTTCCTACCCTTTTCATCCAAACCTTTCTTTCTCATTTCTCTTGCTTCTCCTAATTCATTTTCAACCTCCCAACACAATTCTCTCAATTTGCACAGATAATCTATTCAACTATTCCATTCATCCCAACCTTTTCTCTCATTCTTAGCTTTTTTCCATCCTACTTTAACAAAAAATATTTTTATATTCCTCTTCATCCAATCCTACCATTCTAAAATCTTATTAAAATAGTTTACACTTTTTCCAATACCCATATTTTCTACTAAATTCTTCACATACATCCTCATCCATTAACATTCACATTCAATTTCCAGAACCCATTTCCAAATTCCAATACACCATCCAATCTTACTTCACATTCTAAAAGAGCATGATCAGAATATTATTTTTTTTTTAGTGTATGCAGAAATTCTATATTTGCACCCTTTGAAATAAAACAAATCAATACGTGATTTAACAGTGCCCTTATCACTAAAAAAAAGTAAACTTCTCATTATCCCCTATTCCCTCCAACGCATCTACATATCCAAAATCTTAAACTAAATTATTCAAAACCTTTCCAGTAACATCCAATTTATACCCCTCCTCCACACCTACTCTATCTTTCTTTCGTACAATACAATTAAAGTCCCCACACAAAAACGATATTTCCCCTTCCTGGCAAAACCATTCCTAAGCACTCAAATACATTCATTCATTCTTGTCTACCGGTGCATACACATTAATTATCCTACACTTAATGCCTCTATACCAAAAAAAATCACTAAAACCCTCCCAGACACAACTTCTACTAACCTTGTAATTTTAAACTCGCATCACCTAATCAATACAGCCACCCCAATATTTTTCCCCACACCAAAAGAATAAACATAAGGTCCCAACACCCAATTATTTACAGGCCTATCAGTAAAGTTACATTCTTGTAAGCAAATAAAATGGAAATTTAAGCTGCAAAGGAAATCAAAAACTGCAGCTCTGATAGCTGATTTAATGCTCCTAACATTTAATGAAGCAATTTAAAACATTGATCTAAGGTTTTTACCTCATCACATCACGTCCCTTCCTCTGAGTCACTTTTCAACTCAGGGTCCCGAGAGAATCCTGATATGTCAAACAACCTAGATAATGCCTTTAAATCAAAAACAGGGGACGAACATCCAGAAATCTCAGACTCCGATCGATCTTGTCCTGAAGACGAATCCACCAATATTTTTCGGGAACTGCCTTGAAAGCTGCTCTTTTCCTTTCTTCTTCATTCTATTTGACAAGGGCAAGTCACCACCCTCAATTTCACTAGACGTGCTTGCGGTAACATCATCTGCTTTCACTATATCAGCTTCTATCAAATCACCACATTCCATTTGTACAACCTCACTTTTAGCTTCTTTCTTTTTTCCTTTCAGCATCCTCCAATAACAACCTGGCATGTCGTTCAGCATGCTCCTCTACAGAACGCAATTGTGTGCCATTTGATGGAATAAACTGTATTCTTGCTTTTAAAACTGCTTTCAGACCTGTATCTTTAACTGCAGTTTCAGACCGTGTAGACTCCCCTTCTGCCCCTGACCAGGAACCACCTAGTGACAGACTTGTACAAAACATGGCCATATTGCTTACCGATCCACATAAATCGCATTTATGCCTTTCAGAGCATTCAAAAGCTGTATGGCCCTCCCCATAACACTTTCTACAACACAACCCTTTGGAAAATTTAGCACTCACATGTCCAAATTGAAAACAATTTCTACAATAACTGGGTTGCCCCGGATAAAATAAATATCCTCTATTTCATCCGAGGGAGAAATTTTGTGGGGGGTGTTTTAGACCACTCACCTCCGTCTCATCCTTTTTCAGCACCACAAAGAATTTTATTTTGCCGTTATAAACTCCAAATTGGTTTACCAATTTTACTGGCTTGGAAACTTGAGAACAGTACCTGCTCAAAAAACAGATCTCATCGCTGACAAACTGGTTATACATATGAACCACTAGAGGTAATCGGGACACAGGAACAAACGATATAAAAGAAATACCTTGAATCAGTTTCTCTTCTTCTTTCCATCACAGTAGTCATGAATTCTTGCTCCATAAATGTGATCTCATACATACCCTGGGTCTGGAAATCCTGAACACAAAACAACCATTCCCGGGGTACTTGCAGCAGACCTTCCAGGATCTCTTTTTGAATCACATACAAACTCACCTCCATCCGCCTCTCCTCAGCAACCAACAGCCGCACTGTCTTAGGGTACGATGGTCCGCCTCGCTCCATCGTTGATCACTCCCCGTTTCCCGTGGCGGTTCAGGTTGCCCTCCAATAGCGGCAGCCGGACTGTCCACCAAGGAAGACACAGCTGGAAGGCTGAGGGGCTTGCGTCACCAACCACAGGAACCTTCTGGCAAGACAAGATTAAACTTGATCTTCAAAAGACCGAGAAGCGATAACCAGAATGGCCGCCCAGCTACTCACCTGCCATTCGCCTGGGCTTCTTCAGCTTGCGGTGAGCCTTGGGCACAGTGCCACCCACCTCTTCCTCATCTAGGTGTAAGCTGGCTTCAAATAGCAACAGAGACACAGTCACAGCACACAACCTCTAAGCCCTTGAAACACCTGCTCCCCTCCAGACATACCTTGCACCTATCTCTCTCTCCAGCTGTTACCGATGATGTGCCTTACGAGGCTACTGGATCACCTGGTCTGTTCCTCTTCAGCTGCAAGTAGGGTAGATAGCGCAAGCAATTAAGCACCTGCTGGTTGCTCACTCAATCAATGAATCAATTAATTAAACCCTTAATTGGTTACTTAGATGTTGCTCGACTTATTTTTTTTTTTTTGTAACTACTCAGTCACAGAGCATTTCCTCAAGATGATATTCAATGAATCTCTCAAGTAACATCCTCATGATTCTTTTATAGTAAAACACTCGTGAACACATCAAAATTTCACAAACCAATCCCCATCACCTTCCCCACACCACAGCAAATCACCCACCAAAAGAAAATCACTGCAAACTATAACTCTTAACTCATTCATCCATCCATACATACTTACCCCCAATAATTTAATTTTTTCCTCATTTTATTTAAACAAATATAACAAAAAATAACCACACAACCCACCACCCAATATTTTCAAAAACCACCATATTTCTTTCATGTAACCCTACAAAATATAAACATTTATTTAGAAATGTTCTACTTTACAAATAACATACCTTTAACAAATCCCCACCATTATATACATAAATATATTTCTCCTTTACAAATCAAAATACTTATAACTATTTTATAAATACCATACCACCCAAACTACCCACCACCCAACTTACCATTTCTTCCATTTTTTGGTCTTCCATATCCCTTCCGCATCAATTTCACCCTTTTTTCTCACATCCATTAAATAATGCAAGTACAGTCGTCCTCTAACCATTCTCACACATTCATCCAGCGATATATGTTCATTTTTATAAATTAACAAATTTCTCACATCCCATATCACTTCCTTTATACACCCAACCAATAACCATAACACTCTTTTCTTTTTCAATCTTTTATATCCCAAACAACACTTCAAAATAAATAAACTTGTAGACCAGACAAGCCTACGACCAATTTTAATAACTTTCTCATTTCTTCTCTCACAACATTCTCTCTACTACCACATCCTATTCTTGGACACACATTCGATTGTGCTAAACTTCTCCCATACTGAAATTCTCTCGTAGGCAATACATTATGTATTGCCATCCACGCAACATCTTTGTCTATTCAAACATTCTATTTCATTCATTCTCTTCCATACTTCTTTACTTTGCAAACTTGTCAGTCCATCTATTTCAATCATAACTTCTCTTTCAAAATTTTAAAAACTTTTTTTTCCAACCAATCATCCTTAGATACATTCTCTAATTCATATTTACTAACACACACATCAATCTTTTTATAAAACCAGGGAGTATAAAAACACACAGGCTTAGTTCTATCTATATCATACCAAACAAACTTCCATAAAATAATACTTGCTTGATATTTCACCATACATGCAATCATACTATCTTTCTGGCTTAATTTCACACACAATCTTACATATTGTATTAATAAAAACTGTTCAAGATCAGGTACACCCATTCCACAATTCTCTCTTTTTCACTACTTTCTCTCTACTCAATCTTTCCATCCTACTTCCCCACCCAAAAAAACAATTCTTACTAATTTTCTTA